CAGAGAAGCTGCAGGGAACATTGTTTGAACATGTGATCTTAGGTTAGAAGTTCAGCAACAGAGCAAAGGAAAAGGGGGACTGAAAAAACAGTCTATGTGTAACATGTAGTTGAGGGAAGGGTGGTAGAGAAAGGACAGGGAAGAAAAGGAGAAAGGTAGCCAAGAAACCAGCCTTCAGGTACAATGATAATAGATTTACTGGGGGGAAGGAAGGTGGGCTGGAATATCTTTTCATTGCACTGTTTTTGAAGATTGGTGGTAGATAAAGTTGTAGAAGTTCATGGAAGCAGGAGAAGGAAGATACCACTAATTACTTGCCAATATTCCTTTGGCTTGGTCAGCTTAACTAAAACCATGGTTCTCCTGAAGTTGGGATTTTGAGATATTGTTCTTTGTCAGACAAAGCTGAGTGGCTATCCCACAATATGGAAGCAAGTCAGCAGGGGCTGTTCTAGGATCAAGAAGATTACACTTTTGAGTCTCAGGACTCAACATATTCACAACATATGGTTGTGGTTTACAACAGCAGCCCCCAACCTTTTGGGCACCAGGGACCAGTTCCGTGGAGAGAGGTTTTTCCATAGACCGGAGGGGGTGTGGTTTCATGTGCTGTCTGCATCCCGCGGATAGGGCTTTGCTTGTTTGCACAGCCCTGTTGCTCGCATGCCGCAGCCAGTGCTGATCCGTGGACCGGGAGTTGAGAACCCCTGGTTTACAGTACTTGAAACTGTAATCCAGTTTACTGAAGCAGCTGATCTGTTCCATAATCATGCTGGCTGGATTTATCCAATCCATTCAGAAGATCTTACCACAAAAAGATCTTCATTTCTGCAAAAGGAAACACTTAACAAAGGAGAGAGAAAGTTCAACTCAGCCTTCCCAGCTGCTGTAGCTTCTCCTTGAGTGACTTTAGCTGATGATGGAGAAATGAGGTTTCTTGTGTCAGCATTCTCTTGCAAGAAGGAGGAGAAGTTAGAGCTGGTTGCAAGCTTTTCAGTTTTTAAAAGAATTCTGATAGAGGTGAAGAAGTCAACATAATTTTATTTTCCTTTTTCTCTCTAGCCTAAAAGTCAGAGTTTTTAATCTGTCTGCTCAGTGTTGATTATTCAGAGGGATTTCTCAGGTCATCTCCTTGCCCAGGAACAAAAGTTATTAAAAAGCTTTATAGTAATGATTGTATTGTGTTTTTACGTTTCTCTTCCATCTAACATGACTGGAAATTATGAAATTTGTAATCTAATCAAATTTTAGTGGGATTCCTAAATGTATTCCCTGCATCTTATTTGGATCTTTCATGTTTAAATCTGGATAAAAAAAAAGGTCACATTTGTGTGTGCGGTGGAATTATGTAGCAAATTTCCTCATAAGCACTGTGCCATCATCTATTCTATTGTCTGCCGTATTGTGAAGGCTGCTTCCTATGTTTAAGGTTAAAGGAGTGTAATTTTCTAGAGATGAGAGTCTCCCAGGACCAGTGGAAAAGGAGGTTTTTAATTCAAATTATTTATTCAAATGAGGACTTCACTACAAATTGTATACTACAGCTGGAATTACCTAAATTTATAGATCCTGGAATATATATAAAATGCTATTGAATATAATGTACTTGATGAAGTGAGGTGCAGCTTACAAAAGCTTATTCCCTTTTAATAAAATTTGTTAGTTGGAAAAAGTGCTTCTAATATTTTGCTACTATGGTTTGCTAATATGGCTTTCTACTTACAATGACTAGTGGCCTAAAGTTTTTTTTAGTACCACATAGTTATTATAGCTGCAGGTATTAATTATTTTTTTTGTTTAGTTTTAAAAGAAAATAGTTTTAGAGGCTATTAGTAGCGTATTCAGGATTGAGGAAACATTTCTTTTGTTAGCTATTGAAACTTGATGAAGTGATACTCTTTGTGTACAGATGTACTCTTCAAAAATGCCCACAATTAAAGTAAAAGGCCTTCTAGAAAGTGGGAAAAAGGACCAGGAACTTATACATTCACAAAAGGTTTCTTCTCCAGACTGAAGGGTTATTTATTATTACAGTCTTCTCAAGTAAATAATTTATATTTACTTCCAAGCCTAAGGTTACCAAAGTATTATGCATTTATTTACAGAGATTTCTATAGATCATTTCACTTCCTCCCTTCCTTATTCACAAAGGTGTTTCTTATGACTCCTTGGGTTATAGTTTCAATTTCAGGTTTGCTTTTAAGTGAGCTCCTTGGAAATCCAACCCTTTAGTCAAACTTTTCTTTGTTGACTTCTGTCTGTCTGTTCCAAATAGAATCTTAGTTATTTCTAAAAAAAAAGTTAGTCTGCATCACAGGACTTTCTTTCCAGTTCTGCTTGCTTCTTTTGGATCCTTAGTTACAGGTTCTTCCTTCACTCAGGAATCCTCTCTTCAGCTACTCTCCTCCAGTGGCTCCAGTCTTTACTTCTTGATTCACAAAGCACAAACATACCCATCTCTGATATATCTCTGATATCTCTGATATATTGTATATGTCAGGATAATGATAATTTAAAGCTGACCAGCCAATGTAAGGCTGATGCAACTGTAAAGCTGATGAAATGTAGGGCTGATGTAATGAGAATGAATCAGCATTGGTATAGCCTCTTTAAGACTCTGAAGGGGTCCACAAAAGGCTTCTACCCTTTTAAGAGGTGTTTATAAATTTTAGCCAGGAGATGGTGTATTCTCTCTCCTTGTGTCCGGTAGTCATTGCAGAGTCCTCGGTGTAGAGTTAAGAAGTTTGATTGCTTGTAAGGTATTTCCCAACCATGCATATTTCTGTATATGTCTTGTATTTAAACCACTGTTAAATGTCTAAGTCTCTGTGTGCTGTGTTTTGCTCCTGGGTTGTCTCCTAGTAGTCACACTGCAAACGCTCTGACAGTATATCGTATATTTTTTCCCAAAAGGAAGCTTGCATACTTACCAGTTATCTTAATTAGGCAAAACATTTCCTAGCATCTTAGTATCAATTTGCATAGAAGAGAATAAAAAATCCTAATCTTGGGAACAATTTACAGTTTGTGTCCAACAGGGCAGCTCAACTTGTTACAGTGCCATAGCTGGACTATTCACTGGTATATAACACCTGGATTATATTACTCAGTGTAATATAAAATTACAAGATTTACAAGATTTCATTGTAAAATCTTCATTGGTTGCTAAGTATTCAACTGTTGCTCAAGGTTTTGACATTAACGTTAAAAGCTCTCCTAAAGCATAGGGCTTACATAACCAATTGCCTATCGCAGTATGACCATGGCAATGGACATTAGCTTCAAAAAAGATCCTTCTTAAAGATGCCCACACTTTGGGAGGTTAATCTGTTGAACGTACAGAAGAGACCATAACCGTGCATTGGACTTGCATATTCAATGCTATAGAATTCAGTCTTTGGAGAATTTTTGACCTGGATTTACAATAATTTTTGTTTTTATTACTTTTTAATTATTGATATTTTACTTTTTACTGGTATTGTACTGGAATGTGTGGATGATCTTGAGAAACAAGGGGGAGAGATGCTGTCTAGGAAACAATCAGACAAGAGAAGGAGCTCCCAAGGGCTACACTGTTAGAGAAAGAAACTTAGGATGGACCTGCCTTAATTATGATCAGATGGTTAAAAGTGGTGGTGGGAAGTTTGTACCTTCAGATTTGTAAGATTCTGTTAATGTAGCGTTACAATAAAGTATAATTAGCTCATCTAATTGGGTTTCCTAATTGTCTAGTTGACATGGGAGGGCCGACAGTTATCCATACTGAGTGGATAAAGTATGGATAAGATTGAAAATCTCCTGTTCCAACAATATCATTTCCGTGGAAGCTTAGGGATGCTTCAAAAAAGCTGGGTACCATTAAGTGAAGCTTAGTGCCTGGTAACTACATTGATTAAGGTGTGCTATCTTCCCCGGTCTTAGCAATATCTAATAGGTCTTTCCAGTATTTAATGGAACCTTCTGTCAATCTTGCCAAGCAAAATTGTCATCAGTTGTCTGCTCGCATCACATATCCAAAAAAATGTTTCGTTTGCTGACACTTATGGAAACTGTTTATTATTTAGTAAAGGATGATTGGTCATTCAATCTAGAATTGTAAGGCATATTTCTAATTTGCTCTTTCTCAATCTAGGATTTTCAGCTATTCATATCAATGGAGAGACCACGACTTCAATAACTGTTCTGATATTTGTCTTAATATTCATCCTTCATTCTTTGATTCTAAGTTTGTCACAGCCTTCCTCTCTGTAATTACTTCTTTTTACTTCCCTAACATATTGCCCATCTTTAATTATTCTTGATTGAGAAAACAAAACTACTTTCATTTCATTTCAGTAGTTGTACTACTTTCATTTCTTTGCAGTCAACTAAGTACGTTGATTCACATTGTCTTAAAGTTTAACTAGTTCAAAAATACTTAATATTTTTGCATTAATTCTGAATTCTGTCGTCTTTATATTGAACTAATAAAGTGGTGGTGTCTGCATAATTCAGATTGTTCATGTTTCTGTCTTCCCTCATGATTTCAGATGTTGCCTCTTCCAGTCTTCCTATTTTCATTTATCTATCTATGTCTGTATCTATATCTCTGTGTCTAAATCTACATATTATTTACCAAAAAGATCTCCAGCCCCGAGAATAATCCACTGTCTTCAGTGGAAAGAAAAATCTGCGTAACTTTTCATTTATAGGTATACATGCAGCAGTTGTATGATTTATGGATGAATCAGTACAACATTATCAAAAGTTTAGCATCCTGTTCATAAAGACTTCATGCTTACTTGATAGTTCCCTACTGAAGAGCCTTTGTTGCTTAAGACAGATAATATGCTTTCAGTACTGCAGTTGCACATTGAGGAGCAAAAATAGACTACAATAGTTGTACATGTGTTGTTTGGTGTTAAACATGCATCTTTTAAATACACTGCTAATGATCCCAAATAACATAATCAAACCTGAAATATCTTTCATTTTTTAAAAACAATTGTTTTCCCCTTCAGGAATTTATCAGGGAACATTTTTTCAAGTCTCATGAATGGTCTTTTCTCTGAGCTTCTCGCTTTGAAGGCCTTGTAAGTATATCTTTGCTATGTAAAGTTTGCACAAATATTAGTATTGCCAGTGTTATTCTGAAAATAATATTCAAAATTCATGCTCTTCTACATCTTGATATAATTTCATACGTCTAAAATATTGAAAAATATTAAGGGAGCTGACAATAATAACAGTAATATTTTATGACTGTTTATTAGTTGAACTTGCCTTTAAAAATATTAAAGCTGCATGGTTAATTTGTCTTACATTTTGTAAAAGGCTGAGTAGAAACAGAAAACAAATTAATTCATTATGGTGTTTGCATAAAATATATTAGATGCTCATTATAATTGTGATTATATTTAATGTACATATTACACTAAAATATTTATATTTTTCTCCTTGTTAGGATTTTATTAAACAATAAAAAAGAGTGATGAAAAATTAATTAGAGCGTACAGGCCAAATGGTATTTTGATAATTGCATGTACCTGGAAGTTAATACTTTTCTTTTTGCTTAGAAATGGAATTTATTTGTTTATTAGATTTTTTTATCCTGCCTTTATTACTTCATAAATAACTCAAGGAGATGAACATACCTAATACTCTTTCCTCTTCCTATTTTCCCCATAACAATCCTGTGAGGTGGGTTGTGCTGTTAGAGAGTGATAGAACTCAAAGGTAGATTGCATGTCCAGGTAACTTTAAAGCCTATGCCCAGTTTTTTCCATCCAAACTGATAATTTCAAAGCCCCAAATTAAAAGCAATTATTTTTTAAAAAAGAATTCTGAAGCAAAACTTCAGGATGAATCTTTAAACCTTGATGTAGGAGACGACCAGGCTGAGCCCGAAGGAGGGATCAAATGCATCATAGGTCATGATTTGCTGCACGCCCACAAGAGATCCTAGTCCAGCCCACCTTGAATTCTTTTCTTATTTCCCAGTCATTTCTTTTGTCTGCTGGTTGGTCAGATTCTTGTAGAGAGCTTAAGCTTGCAATAAATCTTTACACTCATTTGAACTCCTGAATCTCCTGATTTCCCCAGCGCTTGACACTTGACTGGTAAGAATTATATATTATTAGTGAGATATAAGCAGGTTGTCCCGCTAGCTACCTTTCAAACATACCTTTTGGTCAGCTGTATTGGCTGGAAATATCCATATTTTTCAGTCAATACAGAAAAGACTATCACTGGGATTATGACAGTTGAAGTTCTACATATGCACTGTAAGGATTTTCCTGCAAGGATTCCTGCTGGATCTTTTCAGTAGAAACTGTATATTTTGTGACATAAACTTCTGCTGTAAACTGGATATGAAATATTGGTGCACATCATGTGTCATACATCCCATTTGTGAAATCATAGGTTCATTAAACATGATGTCTTAAGGCATTATTCTCCATTGATAAGTGAAAGTAATGTCATTTAGAATAATCAAGCTAATAGCTCCAAGTATCCATTTTATTCTGAATATCTAAATGAATTCTATTGATCAAACATAAAGTGTAATACCTGTTCCCCCCAAAATAAGACATCCCCTGATAATAAGCCTAATAGGGCTTTTGAGTGCATGGCAATAAGTCCAAGCGCTTATTTCAGGGTTCAAAAAAATATAAGACAGGGTTTTATTTTCGGGGTAACATGGTAATGTATCCATCAGCAATTGAGAAATGTACACTGAATAGCAAATCATCATCTTGCTATCTAAGACAACAAACCAAAATCTGAATAACCAGCATGTGACTAGATGGCAGCACTGTTTGTACAGGAAAACAGAAGCACAGTATGTCTTGGGAAATTAATGATAACCGGAAATATATCAAGTGAGCACGCCTTTTCCCATTTGCACATATCATAAGCATTCAAAGTGAAAACTATGCATATTGCTGGGAGAAATGTGTGTAATGTAATCTTGAGGGAACATAAAGTTACCCAAATGAAAAATACCACATTAACCAAAAGGAAAATGATTGTGAATGTAAAATGATTTTCCTTACCCCAAGGAAAATTACACAGAAAATAAATCTCTGCAATTCTTAGCAGAAAAATGTAAGATGACCCCTTTTCCATTTCATAGGTGATCATTAAGGAGAAAAGCACATTTTTGTTAAATAAATACTGTATACACGGTATATGAAGGTGAAGGAGTCCCTGCAGATTTTATTCCGCTAGTTGTTGCCAACTCTAGGGGGCTATGCTCATCTCCGTTTCAAGAGCATTGAGTCAATGCTGTCTGAAGACATTTCCATGGTCATGTGGTCAGCATGACATCATGGAATTCTATTACCTCCCCATTGGCATGGTACCTATTTATCTACTCATTTTCATGCTTTCGAACTGCTAGGTTGGCAGGATTGGGGGCGAGGATGGGAGCTCATCTCTTTGTGTGGGTCTTGAACCTAGACTGCTGATTTTCCAACTGACAAATCCAGAGTCTTAACCGCTGAGCCATCGTGTCATATACAGTATATATGTGCATGTATATGTATAGACACATGCACACACTTGAATATGGATGATCCATATGATTTATGCTGTAACTGTTTCAGCCCCACCCCCACTAGCAGTTAATCTGAGAGCTAGGCAGTTGCAACTTCTATATCTTGGTTGATATAATCAATTTGATATATGGTGTTTTATTTTAAAAAGGAAATGCTTGGAATTTGTTTTCAGACATTTCTATACTGATTCCCTCATTTGTGATTGTAATCTCAAATGGATCTTACACTGGGCTACAAATTCCTCAGTGCGGATATCAGAGGAAACCGTGTGTGCTTTTCCAAGGAGTTTACAAGGAACATCATTTCGCAATCTGAAAGAAAATCAGTTGATATGTGGTGAGTTATAGTTTTGTTTTTCAGCATCATAAATTGAAATAAAAATGTACTGAAAAAAAATGCTGCAGGAAAAGGAAATGTAGAGCTCTGTGGAAAAGCTGTTGGTAAATACTCAAATGCAGACATACACAGTCACATATGCACATCCATATACATAAGTGTATAAACATCATATTTGTAAAATCTTGTGCTATATAAACTTTCATTCATGTGTTCAGTGAAGAGATTGCAGATAAATTTTTTAAAAGAAAAGTTTGGGATCATAAAAACAAATTGGGCGGGAAAGAGGTATAATGAAATAATATATTTGAATACCTTGAAATGTAATTCAAATATAATCCGTAAATATAATTGTAAAGCCCAAAGGTGATATTTAAAGTATGTAAATATATAGAATACTTAAATATCTATTTAGAGATATAACACACCAACAAATTAGTTTTAAGAAAGAATGAAAGTGATCCTCTAGTCTTTTGTATGATCTTGATGTCTTGTTTTATGCTGCTCTATGACCATAATAAAGATTTGTTTTGATATCTTGGTAGATTCCAAATAATGGGAATGCAGTATAGGCAAGAAGTCTTATATATTCTTCACATACTGATTGGTATAAATCCATTTTCATCTAAAATAATTGCCATTATAAGATAAGCCCTTACCCTGAAAATTAAAGGCTTATCTTTGGAATCTGCACCAATTGAACACTTTCTGAGGTATTTGCCATCTAGTAAACAAAATGCTTATACTGTATTAGTTGCATTTTAAGGCCAGAAGAGATGGATTTTAGTCTCGCAGGATATCAAACTCATGTATTAGTAAAATGAGAATAGGGATGGAAGTTAATGGCTTATCTATTAAAGTGTAATAAAAATATTATATTTTGCAATTTTACTCTAAACCTGTTAATATCTGCCATATTTCTAATGGTGCAGGCAAATTTCAAGAAGGTGAATATATTATTCCATTTTTTCATTCATCTGATGCTGAAGGGCTTCAATGCCAGCTCTCAGTCTGGTATTTGGGAACTGAGGGTGAAACCCTTCTATTCCAAGAGTCTGAAAAAAGTGGCAAAATAGTGGAACTGCATTTACTGTAACAAACAAACAAATAAAGCATGATTACACATAGGAAACTCAGAAAGCAAAAGTCCTGTTTCTGCTAGGTTTTAAACCAGCAACGTTTAACTTATAAGACCAGAGTTACAATGACACTGCAATGACAACGATCAGCATGAAGAAAAGATCATAGAGGTCTTAGATCAATGATAGGACTGGCTCAGTTGAAGGCATTTTCCTTCTTCTATGAAGTTGATAATAAAATGCTAGAATTAGCCTGTAAACAAAGTAAAGGGCTTCAGCCCAAACAGACATAAATCCTTGAGGGAAAGACTGCTTTCATACTACAGCAGGAAAATGCACAAGGGAAATTATGTTATAATGGAACAGAAATGAGTAAAGACTGACATCCACATATGCTTTTAAACCATAGTTGCCGTCTCATTTTGGTAACGGGACAATATAGGTAGGTCCTATCTCTATGCCCTGCTTGACCTATTAGAGAAAAAAAATAAGGGCACAGAGGGAGAGTTAATTACAGGACAATATAAGATATGTTCTTATAATTCCAAGGACAAATACTTAGAACAAGCATAAGTTTTTATTAGAGATAAAATGTTTGGCAACCTGAGGTGGGGATGAAATACAGCAGGAAAACATAAGAGGCTTTTTAATCCTCCCAAAAGATTTTACTAAGCCTTTAAACAAGTATGAAGATCTTCAGTTTTCATCATTGCCAAAAAGGATCTTTAGATGACATCGGACAATTTGTGTGTGTGTGTGTGTGTGTGTGTGTGTGTGTGTGTGTGTGTGTGTAAAGCTACATGTGCAAAGTTTTCTCTCATCAGCCAAATTTCTTATGGTGGAGAATGACTTTCTATATCCTAGCAAGTTGTTGGTATTATCTGAAAAGAATGTTATGTGAGATTTATTTCCTCCCATTCAATTTACTCTACTAGTACATATTTTTTGCAGTGGTTCATTTCTCATGGCAGAGCTAAGAAAGTTCACAATAAATGGCTGAGGTTGTACAAAAGGGAAAGCCTGGAAGATGATGAATCAACCTGATACCTAGCTAATAATTTTCTGGCAGAGATATTTCATTTTCCACAGCGGAGACTTAATGGTTAGTTTAATAACATTATAGTACCCTTACATAATCATAATAACAGACATAATGTTACCCTTCTCTGCCTCTAAAGTCTAATGAAGTAGGAGGCCATAACAAATTTAATGAATTAAATTAAATAGACCTGCTTTAAGTATTGCCTGTCGGGGATGGAGGCAATCAACAAACCCTCTTCCAAAATAAAAGCAAAGTATCACCTGTTTCTAGTGCCAGTAAAAAATAATTTGTCGATTATCAAGGTAAACATACTATAGGGAGGGCCAAAGGATTATAATGCCAGCCCTAATTTAGTATCATCTTGATCAGAAGTCACTCTTAATTTATTTATTTTTAATTAAATATTCTTCATCCCTATTCTTTACTCTCCAATTAAAAGAGTTAATGTTTCATGGTGCATTTTATTCACAATATAAAAGCAAATTTATAATATTTCCCAGAGTATATTCACATATCAACATATGATATGATTTTTGATTTTTATGAATTCTATGATTTTTTTGTCATCCGTTGCATTTAGATTATTTGGTACCTAGAAAACTAGTTTGTTCTTTTAAAGTCAGACATTTAAATTAAGACATATGTTTGGTATGATAAACATCAAATGTCCTCTTTGTAGACATTGTAAGACTAAACACTGAAGATGTTTTAATGTGGAGAAAGAAAAGCAAATCCACACCTTAATGGCGGTTAGCAAACCAAAGGAAGACATAAAATAGAAAAAAAAGGAGTGGAATTTTAGTGTGGTAGAATTGGGGATAAAATAAAATTGCTATTAAAATTAACTAAAACTAGGAACTTAGGCAAATTCCAAAACTAGGTATCTTCATGTCTTGCCCTGCACCTGGATTTCTGTTTCTTCTACTTTTTCTAGACTTTCATTTAGAGAATCAGTGCCTAAATGTACAGAACTGGAACAGCATCAGTAGCCATTTTTTATAAATTAGTCAAAATTGCTATGAACTGATGTTATGGAACCTACTGCATTTTTACACTGCCATAGCATAAAACTGGATAATTCAGTTAGTCTACAAAATTAATTATGGCAACTGCGATGTGTGGGACCGTGTTAAAGTTAGGCCTCAAATATTTAGGCTATTGCTGTCAGTTCAGATATAGAATTTTCTTTCATCTGTTTCTGAGTATTCATTATTATGAAATTTCTTATGGGTGTTATTTTTCTTCTAAGCAAGTTTTTTTTTTTGTACTATACAGCTGGGTCCAATAAAACATAAAACATAAAAAAGAAAATACTTATCCACACTAGATGAGTTCAAATTGCCAGGGCCAGATGGATTACCTTTTAGGATTCTGAAGGAGCTGGCAGATATGATCTCAGAACCATTGAACAAATTATTTCAGAGCTCCTGGAGAATAGGGGAACTGCCAGAGAACTGAAAAAAGAGCCAATGTCACTCCATTTTTCAAAAGGGGAAAAAAAAGTAGATCCAGGATACTACAGACAATCAACCTAACATCAATACCTGGGAAAATTCTGGAAAAGATAATCAAGCAGCAGATTTCTGAGCCCTTAGAAACGAGCATTGCCAGAATACTAGAAGCCATCATGGGTTTGTTAAAAACAGATCATGCCAGACAAACCTTATTGTCTTCTTCGACAAAGTGATTAAATTAGTGGATTAGGGAAATGATGTAGACATAGCTTCTTTAGAACTTAATAAGGCATTTGACAAAGTAGACTACAGCCTACTTCGTGGTAAGACAGAAAAATGTGGGATAAACAAATTTGCAATTGGCCGACCAACGATACACAATGTATGCTTCTCAATGGAGAACATCTACATGTACATCGAGGGAAGCATGTAGTGGGGTACCTCAAGTCCTAGTACTCTTTAACATCATCATTAATGATCTAGATGAGGGAATATAATTTGCAGACACCAAGCTGAGGGGGAGAGTTAATTGCACAAAGTAGCTTTGCAAGATAGACTCAAGATTCAGAAAGGTCCTGAACAATGGGGCTCTATCCAACAAAATGCAGTTCAGTGGAGAGAAAAGGTCTGAAACATGGACAAGAAAATGGTATAAGGTCTTCTGCTCAAGGAGAGGGTTGAAGGTCTCTTCCAATGCTGATACTCTATGTTGTCATGTTCTTTCTTATCTGCACTAAAGCAATTAACGGTATTAAATCAGGCACCCGTTTTTGCTGTTATCTTGTTACTGAATATGGAAATGAATTTCTATAGAAATTTATATTCAAGAGTAGAGATTTATAGCCATATCTGACTCAAAATCTGATTTTGAGAACAAACATATCCTAACAACATTTTTTTTTTATTGGTTCTGGCCTCATGACACTGCCTTCATCTTGTCTCCAGCCTGTAAGTGAGACAGAATTCAGCTGTCCTAAGCTGTATAAATTTTAAGCTTTTCCTTTTTATCTTGACATTATCCAAATTCAGCCTTAGGGTGGATAAAATCTATGGCTTTTGAAGCCTTAGGTGACTGCAGAATAAAGTAGGAATCAGGAATGGGAAAACACATTTCACACCAGTCACTTTTCTGATGATGTAAGAATAAGTGGATAGTGTTAAAATTCAGCAGTGGGGAATGGTCCTAAGAATTTTTTAACCATATATTTACATGAGACACTTTCCAGAACAAAAGAAACCGTCAAAATATATTTTTATTTATTTATTTATTTTTATTTATTCAATTTTTATACCGCCCTTCTCCCGACGGACTCAGGGCGATGTACAGCCATATTAAAACAAACATATACCCATAAAATTTAAAAACAATTTAAAATTTAAAATATATAAAATTTTGGCCCTTATGTTAAAAGCTACAAACACCCAGTTAAAATTCATTTTCTAAGCCAGCCCGGCCTGTTGAAACAAAAGAGTCTTAAGGGCACGACGAAAGGTATGTAGGTATGTGAATCTCCGGGGGCAGTTCATTCCAGAGGGCAGGTGCCCCCACAGAGAAGGCTCTCCCCCTGGGTGTCGCCAGTCGACATTGTTTGGCCGATGGCACCCTGAGGAGTCCCTCTCTGTATGCCATCATCATATTTGTCTTTTATCTCTGCTGTGTTTAACAGTGTCTCTTAACAGCGAAGGAGAGGCTTGGTACTCCTACATACCACCAAATATACTTAGAAGCACCATAGGTGTAAGTCTCAATAGTTAATTTGTTTTTATTTAGGAGCACCAAAACCATCTGCAGTTGTTTGAGATTCTAAGAACTTACTCCATACAAAACATAAGCAAAAGCCTTGTGTGGTACATATGTAATAATTCAGGCTTGGTACTCAGTACCAAGTCCCTTGTATCAAAAAGTGAAAAAAAAAGAGGAAATAATCATGTACATATTAAAATTAGGCAGTTCAATCTATTTTAAAGCTTGATTGCAATGTGTGTAGGCATAAATTTGTGATTTGGGAATTTATTTATTTATTTATTTAGCATATGGCTGGTCACACACAATATTAAAACACTTCATTTTTACAGGTTAAAACAATTAAAAAAAGAGCAGTAAGAAAACCTAAGAGGAAAACAGAAATAACATTTCAGAGTTTAATGTCGAGTTTGGAGATCCAGTCAGTAGCTGTCGTTGTTACGCAGAGGAAATGATTTGGGAAATTACCCAGTCAGAGAAGGGAGATTCTGCTGTACCTTAGGCTGCAGAGCCTTCTTCTATTGCCTCTCTTGTGGAAGTGTGACTTTTTAAAAGCTTTACTAATAGCAACTGAGACTATTTTAAAGTCTTGTGGGATGGGCAGGAAAGTCTCCCTAGGCTGGGAAGATAATGATTAAAAACGAGCACATTTCCCATATTGGTAGGCATATGCCATGGCCCCTTCTTATAGGCATTCTCAAGGAAGAGAGCAAATGAGATGAGGAGGGCAGACTCAGTGTAGTTCTGCAACTGAAAGATTGGATCTGAATGGGGACCAGAAGTTTATTTATTTAAATTCTGCTAGTCAGACATCTGATCCTGACACCACAATCCTCAAGATGATGAGAATTGTATTGCCTCTGAGTGATACAAATAGAATGGTGCAAAGCCATAAAGTTTCAGGGGTAAGTTCCTTGGGAGTAAAAGCTCATTGTAAACTGGATGTTCTCTCTTCAAAGTTCATAAGCACTGGTTGAGTTTGGGTGGAATCCTTTCTTCTTTGACATAAAAGTGGAATGTAGTTTAGTGCTGGAAACAACATTGTTTATAGTTATATCCAGTATCTACGTGCTTAGATTGATGCCTGGCTTGCTCACCAGAATGTATGAAACTTCTTCTGACTCTTGTTTAAGCTGTAGACTTTCTCCTTTGGATTTATGGCATTTCTACTGTTATTCTGTATCTTGAACTGGACATTGACTATCCTTACTGTCTTTTTTTGTGTGTGTGGATGATCTTGATTTGTTAAATTTTTATTATCATATCCCTCTCCTTGATGGGGCTGAATGGGAAGTATGGTTTCTGGGATATGATTCAGGACCTAGGAAAAGTGCACCAATGGCTCTAGAATAGAAGCAGGGCTTGTGATTGTGGGGGAGATGGATAGTTTAATTAGGCTTGATTTGGTCTGTGGAGTGGAGGAATCCTGTCACTTAATATTTATGTTATTTATATTAACATATGTAATAGTTTAGGCTGCTCATAAAGTTTGCAAGAAGCACTGGTTGTGCTTTTAAAGAATATTATGATGGAGTGGGAGTGGGAGTGGGAGTGGAGTGGAGTGGAGTGGAGTGGAGTAGAGTAGAGTAGAGTAGAGTAGAGTAGAGTAGAGTAGAACAGAACAGAACAGAACAGAACAGAACAACAGAACAGAACAGAACAGAACAGAACAGAACAGAACAGAACATTTTATTTGGCCAAGTGTGATTAGACATACACGGAATTGGTCTCTGGTGCAGAAGCTCTCAATGTATCTGCAAAGCAACAGAGTAATAATAAACATAATATAATACCAATAAGAGCAGGTACCGGTAGTAGAGAAGATGAAAAGGATAATAATTCTATAGCTACACAACATGGGTAAATATACTTAGACATAAAACATTATTATGGGGATTAGGTATTCAGCAGAGTGATGGCACAAGGGAAAAAACTATCCCTGTGTCTAGATGTTTTGGCATGCAATGTTCTATAGTGGCGTACTGAGGGGAGGAGTTGAAAGAGAGTATGTCCAGGATGTGAGGGGTCTGTAGATATTTTCTCAGCCCTTCTTCTGACCCGGGCAATATATAGGGCTTCAGTGGAAGGCAGTCTGGTTGCAATTGTTTTTTATGCAATTCTAACTATATGTTGGAATCTGTACCTGTCCTATTTTATCAAAGTGCAGATGACAGACTCAATAATTCTTCTGTAGAATTATATCAACAGCTCCTGGGGCAGTCTGAACTTCCTAAATTGACAAAAGGAGGACGTTCTTTGTTGTGCTTTTTTAGTGATGGTTGTAATGTTAGTTGTCCATTTCAAATCCTGGGAGACTATGGAACCGAGAAACCTGAAGTATTCCACATTTCTAAAAGCTTATATTTAACATTGTTTTATTTTACTTCTGCCAGTGATTTCTTACATTATCTTCAGATCTTTGGCAAGGCATATAATTTGATTCTGTTCATAAATATTCTGGTTTATCATTACTAATTTAAGCCTAGCTGTGTTTTTTGAATAATTGGTAGAACCATCTTACACTTAGATAACATCAGAATGATAGCTGCAACCAATGGATACTCAGTCCTAGAGGGAAAAAAACACAGATGTAAGTTTTCATAAAATGAGAGAAATACAAGATAGCTTCTGGGAAGTCACTAGTGTCCACCAGTGAGAGTGTATGCCAGTGACTATGCAGCCAAACCTGCACTGTAATGTAAAATAAATACTGTATGTTACAAAATGATCCTATCCTACCAGTCCTAGGAATTCAGTTGAATTTTAATCCCTGGACATCCCTACAGACAAGGGTTCAAATCCACTTGTGATCCTCACAACTACTGCTTTGGAAAACAGCTCAGAAAAAGAAGGAAATGACCCCCCCCCCCAAAAAAACCCCTCAGAAAAAACAACAACACAGCACTAATATTACTCTGTAGGCAAGAAGCATGCAGTGAATGAATAGAACAAGAATATTCATAAAAAAGAATGGGATTTATGCCATACCAGTCAACCACAGATCTAACAGATTTAAAACTGAAATACTCTGTTAAGAAATGGCAATGACATTATACTACAGTATACATGTAATTTTTCCTGCTTCTTTAGGTTTGAACTTAATGTTCTATGCACAAAATGTGACAGTATTTTTAATTTTTAATTATGTTTTTTACAGACTTCTTACAAGATTATCTTCACATAATGATGATTTGTGTTCTTTTGTTGTTTTCCTTAATAAGGAAAAATGCTTAGATGAAAGAATACATACAATAAATACAAAATAATTACTATTAAAATAAATGTATAGCACTTTTTATTCATAAAATCATTGTCAGATTTAGACTATCTAGAAATTAGTTCCTTTTCACTTTGCAGTGATCTAGTATAGTGTTGGCTTTCCAGAAAATGGCAACAGGGGTAAATATTATTTTTTTAGAAGTTTTTTTTTAATTTGGAAGCTCCTTGAGACTAAATTTAATCACCTATACTTCTCTGTACAGATAAGCAGCAAGGATTCAAACCTTTTAGAAATATTAATTAGAAATTATTTAAATAGAGCACTCTCTTTTGATCTAGTAGAAGTTTACCTCAAAGGGATTACTCTCTTTCTCTCTGTGTCTCTCTGCCCCCCCCCGTGTGTACCAGAACTGAGCAAAAATTCACAAGAAATGCCTTGAATTGACAAAGCTTCAGTCAAAGTACATTTGTGAATCAGCAGATTGAAGCAGGTGGCTGCCAAACACTTCAGAGACTCATTGGCTTTTCTGTTATTTTTCTATTTTTCATAAATAATATTCAGTACTGTGTCTTCACCTAAAATATCTAGTTTTAAATACTGATGTGGGAAGGAGAGGCTACTGTCTGTATAATGACCTTTCTCATGAGTACACTCCAATGCACTTCAGCACCTTAATGAATTCTGCAACCTTAGATGGAAAATTAACATTATTTTGGGTTTATTTGTTTGTTTTATGACATTTAGAGACTGGCCTTCACATTCTCAGAGTAATTCCTGTGTTCAATTAAAAATATAAAAACCACGTAAAAATACTTTCTCTTAATAAAGAGAGACAGTTAAAACAAGGATAAAATAAATTAATAGTTAAAAAGGCAGGGGGAAGACAGTCAAGGCTGTAACCAAGCCCAAGATTGTGTGCTTCTCCGTGAGCCCCATGTGAGTCAGCACAGCCAAGTCTTCAAACTCTTTTGAAAGGCCAGGAGAGTGGGAACCCACTTCACCTTTAGGGCGAGGATATTCCAAAGGGTGGGAGTGACAGCAAAGAAGGCTTTCTTCCTGGATCTTGCTTATCAAAATTCTTTAACCATAACATAGCAAGCTTGATACAATAGAGCTTGTCAGTGATTTTTTCCCTCAGGAACTGCTTAGCTTTGCCAACTAACTGTGCCAACTTTCCTACACCTTGCCTAAAACCCAGTACTTAGCGATGGGGAAGTACAGGCCGAAAAATAAATAAATAAATAAATTACAGGCATTTGTGCTGTCTGTCTCTTCTCCTACTTAAACCTACTCCCCTGCAGCAACATGGCAGAATTGTTATAAAAGCTACACCCTTGAAACAGGTGGGGGAGGAGATAATCCGGGTTTTGAAAGGGCGACAATGGCAGCAGCAACAGCAGCAAACAGAAAGCAGCCAAATAAAATGAGTTTTCTACACAGGGACCGAAGGGTTCAGAGGAGGCACAGCAAAGCCAAACCAAGTACAACTGTTAGAAAGGTGCCAGTGCTTTATCTGCTGCACATTAATAAATAAGAAAAACAATAGAAGAAATCCCAGAGAGAGACAGGATTTAAAGACAGAACAGGGTCTTTAAGAGTTGAAATTCTGTGGTATGCTAATAATAGAATAGTATTGTAGCAAAAATAATAGTATACTTGTAGTAGAAATGGTATAATATACAGTAAAAATAATATAGTACAAATAATACAGTAATATATTAGAATGTAGTAGAACATAGTCTAGAGAACATTGTATAGTATAAATAGTTTGTTTGTTTGTTTATTGGATTTATATATACCGCCCTACTCCTGAAGGACTCAGGGCGGTGAACAGCCACAGAATAAAACACATAAATACAAAAATTTAAAATAGAATAAAAATGAATTAAATAATTTTTCTGAGACAAATTTAAAATACCCAATAATTTAAAAACAAATTAAAATTTACATTTAAAAGGGGAAAAGATTTAGGCCAGGCCAGCTTGATGAAATAAAAAAATCTTGAGTAATGGTAATAGAGATAGAGTATGGTATAATAGAATAGACATAGAGAAGAACTTCCACATAGGTTTGCATGTTTTATTTTTGTATCTTGGGTATTTTTTCAAAATAAAATACCTTCCCAACCCTTAGAGGGAGATATCTAGAGTCCAGTGCTTTTTGATAGATCTTTTGAGCTTGTGTTGATAAATTGGGTATAGTTTAAAAAGAAACTACTTTTGTCATTATATATGACAAAAGGTGCCTTCCCAAAAGAAGCTAATTGTGATAATGTACTTTTCCTTGTCTAGTGCTCTACCGAAGCCAGCAGTGGGGATATTTTCAGTAGAGGCCAAGCTTCCCAATCAACTATGCCAACCCTCTTACACCCACAAAATCCAGTGATCAGAAAAACTAAAACACCAGCCTATAAACTCTGACAAACTAGTTATGAATAGACACATAAACAATATCTACACCCTGGGCAAAAAAGACAATCAAGCCAAAAAGTAAACAAAAAGGCCAAAACACCTCCCCACCCATAATCAACACCCAGATGATCATAGATTAACACCGAGGTTAACATCGGACCAACCAATGAACTGCCAAACAAGCTAACAGTAAACAGTCCAACCAAAGACCTTCCAAGACCATTCCCACCAACACTGACAGCCACTAAAATATAAACTGAGAGGAAATCCCATTCCTTATCAGCACTGATGATGTTACCTAGTTTATGTAATGAAACATCTGCAAGAAAACAGCCCAGCTCAGAGAGCACCAAGGACCCCTCATTTGTCTTATAGTTTTTGCTGTTCACCATCCAGAATCACTTCTTATAAGATGTGCAACTATATAAATTTACAAAGAAGCAGACAAACAAATATTGTACCTGAAATGCTGACTTTCATGTTCTTCTGTTCTTGCTCTTATTGCAAAAAAGCAGCTAGTACATTATACTGATTGACATACTGGACTGTATAGGGATGAAGAAAAAGAATAATTGGGTTATATTTGCCTCTTCTTATCTTTCTCCAGGTCTTATTATTGTTTCTCAGCAAGAATTATTTACTATTTTTGTGGCGTATGTGACACTTAGACAACCTACAGGTAGTCCTAGACATATGACCACAATTGAGCCCAAAATTTCTGTTGCTAAGCAAGATAGTTAAGTGAATCACTGCAGTTAAGTTAGTAATACAGTTGTTAAGTGAATCTGGTTTCTCCATCTCAAGACACTGCAACTGTCATGCCAGTTATTTATTTTTCAGAACCATATTTGATTACTTTAAACATTCACAGCCATAATACGTAGACCATGAATTCATACTAGGCAATTCTGAAAGCAATTGCTATATCAGTCTGTAAGGAAAGATGAAAGAAAGAGGGAGAACTGTTTTGGTTGCTTCTATTTGAATGACTTTCCAGCCCATCAATTCTGAAAACCATCCTAATTTTAACAGACAAGTCATGAGTGAAATTAGCACATAGAGGCTGACACATGGAATATTATCTCGAAGAGGTAGGTTTTTTATTTTGAAAGAACTGTAAAAAAAAATAAAGCTGTGTCAGAACTTTCAGGAAGCTGATTTACTATTTCATATTCTTTTGGAGTCATTCCTTTTATATATTGTTCAGCATTTAAATTGGAATACTGTATAGTCAATCTAAATGGGGAAAAAGTATTTTGAATTATTACTACTATTCATAAATGTGTTTCCACTGTTGTATGCATACATTTCCTAGAAGGTTTTCATAATCCAAAAACCACATTTGTATTTTAAAGAAATAGTTCGTAGTGGTGCATGAAGGTGAATTTTAATGTGCTAATCACTTTTCTTAGTCCCTTCAAAAGTCATTGTGAAGTCAGAGTTGTGTACTGAGGCAAAAACTTAACCAAATAACAAATTTATACATTTCCTTGATTTTCAATTAAATCATATTTGTTTATTTGCTGATTGAAGAATTGATGTATAATACTCATGTTTTACAGGTACTGAGTTTATTGATTATCACTAATGTTTTATTCAAACCAGACAAAGCAACACCGGTTCAGGTCTTTAATAGGAAATTATAACAAGTGAAAGCTACAGAATACTTACCATGTAGAAGTTATTTTAGTACAATATTGGTGTGCTAATCATAATCTCTGGTTGGGGGGTATAAAGATTACTATAATAATAAAGAAAATAGGTTGCTTAGATACATCAAAGTAATCAAATTAAAGCACCACTCTACAGATTTATTCAGGAGTGGCAGGAATGGCAGCAGTAGTAATATAAATGCTCAATTTTTCTGGAATAACCCATGAAATTATGCTATATGACACTTGTATAAATTTTGAACTGTAACTGTGAGTTACTGTGGACAAAGTCAGATGTCATTTTATGTCTTCATGTTTATATTTGATTACAACATTCTAGGGGCTGATTAATCTGTTTCCTATAATCATATTTCTATAACATTTTCAGTTTGATTTTCAGGAACAAGTTTACTAAATGTTTGCATTTTTCAAATGCTTTGTTTCAAGTACACATGACAATTATTATTTATTTCTTTGTTCACAATTCTTATTATAGACATTTGCCCTAAAGCACTTCACTCTTACAACATACAGTACCCCTGATATATACATTCTTTGCAATAATTTTTTCCTAAGCTTTTTTAATTGAAAATCTGCTTTATAAAATTGAGAAAGGTACAAAAGAATAAATTGAATATAATTACATTCTCTATAAAATAGACAAATCTTGTCAAAGTTTGAAGTGTACGTGTGACTCAATATATCTCTCTTAATGTGGATCAGAGGAAAAATATGATTCCACTCATGCGCAGATTAAAATATAAAAATATTTTTGATATGTGTATAAATATAAATCCTACTGGTACGTGCCAACCTTCCTCATTTATGAGTTGGAAGACTCAAATCCAGAAAGCTCCCACTGGTATTGCAGAACATCTGACCAATAACTTTAACATTGATTCCCAATGGAAATCCAAATGGGTTGCTGAAGGCCCAGACGTAGGAAGACATATAAATGACCCCACAAAAAAGGTGCTAGGCTACCACATCAGCAATGGACAATCCTGAATAGGATTCACACCTCACACGGCATCTGCCAGGACTCTCCGTATAAATGGGGTATATCTTCCCATCTTATTGCGAGGTCCCATGTCAAACTGTAGATCACATCATGACCAGCTGTAAGCTGAGAGCATATACCAGTCCTGATAGATTTTTTAAAAATCTGATGCTACATTTTAATGGTTAGATGACCTAGATATTGATATTTGGACATAGATCTTTTTAACATTTATATTTTGTTGTGTTTTACTAATCCAGATGAAATGTTAATATATATTGCTAGTCCATGCATGATATGCCACACTCAAAAAGGAATAAATTAAAACATTATGTTTTTCTCTGTTATAATGAGAGATGTGTTTTTGTGGTTTTGTTAATTGAATGCCAATTGAAAAGAACAAATTAGCCACCTGATACAAACTAAGCAACATTTTTTAACAAATGTTAAAATCTGGGAAGTCTTTTCATTTCACGCAAATAGAAAGTTTTCCAGCATGATTTATCTGTCATCTTGAAAGGCATCAGTTTTTCAAGATGAACCTGGGATCCACTAGTTTCAAACAATAATATCAACAGAACCAAACTTTTAGCCCAGATGGAAACCCACATACTGTTGTGCACTGTTGGTAAAAACTACAGCTAAAGTTGCTGTGGTTCATCGCTCTTGGAGAGATGGATGACTTTTACCATTATGAAACATTTTTTCCATAACAATTCATAATTGAATTCTACTTTGGTTCAAAGAATGGTTCTTCATACAAGACATAGCTCTTTGCCCAGGCCTTTGGTGAGCATTATTGATGCCCCTTTCCTTCCTTTTCCATGTCTCCATCTGGGTTTGTTTTCTCTGACATTTTTTGTCTTTCTTGTATTATTATTTGTTTGTAAATGTTTTTTAATAGTTTAGCAATTTTTAACAATCTTTAATCACCCAGAGTTTCTGGAAATTGGGCAACATATACACTATTATTCTTGGTTGCACAGATAGCCAGAAGTTTGGACTGGATTTGACATTTTTATTTACCTCTTGAGTCCTTTCCAAGGATCTAGGATAGGCAGATGCTGGTAGTTAATAATGATAAAGGTATGGTCATTGAATTAAGCTGTCCCAAGTAAAACTGCCTTTTGCAATTTATTGATGTGATTTTGTCAATGCTAATAGTGTTCAAGTGGTGCTCCAGATGTTTTGAAATTGCATCCAAAGCACTTATTACTAATGGTATTACTATCATTTTTTCCCCAAACAGCTTTCAGTAGGTCTGTTACAAATACATAATACAAGCTTGCCAACTCTCTTCCTGGGAGAATCTCTATCTTCCTACTCTCTTCTCTAAGCTGTTTTACCAAATGGAGCAATTTCACTGAGGACAGGTAGTTAAACTACCATACTTCTTGAGTGAAGAGTTTTCTACCTTTACTTGGAATCTAAACATATTCCATCCTTAGGATTAAGCTTTCACAAAGTGACCTCAATTTCTTTTTTGGTACCAGGACTAACTAAATGTGGAGTTCTTGGTGCTCAAACAAACCCCAATAGCTTAGAATGAAAGGAGTTTTTAAAATAGTAGCAAGAAAGTAAATATGTGGGAAATAAGATAGCTGAATCATGTTATGAGGCATAGATGTGATACAAGAGCTAGTAATTAATTATCAAGCAAGCGAAAATAATAAAAGAGGATAGTAAATTACTGTTGAAATGGGCCACTTTGCTTTATTTTCTTTGCCAATTTCTTTGCCAATTTTATCAATTTTACCACATTGATGCCTGTTCTCCCGGGGCTTTGGGCTAGAAGGCTGAATCCTAGAATTCTTGTTAGTTCCAGAGCCTGCAGTTAATATAGACTGGGAAAAAATAAACTTCATTCTCCTTCGCCTGAGATCCCCCACCGCCTCTTCTTTTATTAGAAGAACATAGTGGCATTTAGAGTACAATTTATTTAAAATTGTTAACTAGACTCAGGCTGCTAAGTCTACTATACAATCTGTTCCCTGTTATACAAAAATATTATGTTTTTCTAGGAGTTAATTAGTGTGAGTTTTTCTTAGTCCTATGTTAAAACTCTTTTCTACAATTTGTTGCTACTCTCGGCTCTGTCTGTCATCCAGTCCGTGGCCGTCAAATAATCACCAGATACGATGTCAAACAACAATAGTTTAATCAAAGACTAGCAGCAACACAGCAAGAGGAACAGAATGAGCCGGATCACAGGGTTTAAGTCAGCGCTGCACGCAACCACCGTGCAACGCTATTTATTTTCTCCCCGGCTTCTAAACCACCATCCGGCAATGTAATTTCAAAATTCCCCCTCCCACATCAGCTGTTGAGTGCCGTGATGTTCCCGACGTCGCAGCCACGATGTCACAGGACAGCGCCGGTAGTTCTCAGCAGGCTGCGTCGCCTCAGCTGCTAGGCTGCTGCACGGAGCTGACCCTGCCGTCATACATGGTTAGGTGGGCACTTCACTTGGTCCCAGGTTTCCCCAGCGTCCCCAGCGATGGCGAGTCCCAGCCAGGGCTCGACAGCTACCCTTTTCTATTTAGTCTACCCATTAGTACTCGGCTTATATACTAATACACATATGTTCAGCTATGCTTTTCCTATATTATGGGCTGCTTTTTTGCTGTTTTTTAGCAGCGTAGAAATACTGAAGGATAACTGCATTCCAGTACACACACTGATTCGGGAAAAACCAATAACCTACAAACATTTTTTCCCATTTTTCCATAAAAACCATATAATTTTTAATTTCTAATCTTCTAATTTAGGATGCTGCTATTTCTATTTTTTTCTATTAACATCATTTATTTTACAATTTTTGGGATGTTAAAGAATTAGAATGATAGTTTTAAATCTATCTCTATTCATCTGTCTATCTGTCTATCTATCACTT